GGATTTTCTCCATATAATCTACTTCAATGGGAACCAAATGGTTCAAGGTCTAAATTTCAGTGCAAACTGCAAACTGTTCAAAGGGCTTTAAACGACACTAAACGATGAATAAGGGTCTTGTCAAGCGAAACGATCGCTCATTTCAAAAATAAATAACATAGTTTAAGTTTTATAAGCTCAAATGCTCGCCTTGCTCTGTTCTGTGATGCGCGTTTGTGACTCTAATGTTTGAACTCGTTCATCAAACTGAATGAATCTTTTTTCGAGTCATTTCGTTTATTTGTTCATTGAATCAACCAATTGACTTGAAAAAAGATTTGTTCATTTTGAGTTCGAACATTAGTCACGAACGCGCATCACAGAACAGAGACAAGGCGAACATTTGAGCTTTTAAAACTTAAACTTTGTTATTTATTTTTGAAATGAGCGATTGTTTCACTAGATAAGACCCTTATTCATCTTCTGGTGTCGTTTAAAGCCCTTTGAAACGGCACTGAAACTCTCATTTGGTTCCCAATGAAGTCCATTACAGTATATGGAGAAAATCCTGGAATGTTTTTATCAAAAATTTCTTTTCGACTGAAGAAAGAAAGACATGGACATCTTGGATGACACGGGGGTGAGTATGTTTTTTTAAAAGTGAACTACTCCTTTAAGTGACCTGGGGTCAAGTGCTACAATGAAGACGAGAGATCAGATCTGTCCCTCTGATCTTCTAATGTTACATGGTATTAGGGTCATATTTGATACAAAGGTCAAATAACTGTCTATAGGAGTCAACACAGGTCATGTATGCATATAGAAAATTCAAGATATACTCAGATCTAATAGATTTACCCGCTCAAAAGTTCTGATTTCAAGCTCTGTCTGGGTGGGTGGACAATACAAGGCCTGTAGGAAGTGACTTCATCAGTGAAAAGATGTCAGCTTGTTTTCCTTTTTTCTTTTCCTGTTGTGTTCTGATAGGAACTTCCTCTCCAATGGGGGTGGAAGTAGGTGTCACTCTCCAATCCACCCACACCACAAGGGGAAATGTCCATCACACGCCCGACCAGCCTGACGATACGGTCAACACCAGGGTAAAGACGAACAGACTTTAGATCCGCACGAGTGACGATTAATTAACATTCTGTCTCCGTACAGATGACACCAGGATGACCGTTTCCATTTTTCTCTTTTTTATCTCCAAACGTTTCGCGTCCATTCAGAAAAACACATGTTTGGAACACGCCTTTAGTGTCATTTCTGGGTGAGCTATCCCGCTGTAAAGGGGAAAAGGTCTCCACAACAAACAGTTTGTGTTGTTCACATATGTACAGTAGCCTCCCTCAACGGGCCTTCACGATCTAAAGCTGCCGATGTTTGTGGTCTGGCTTTCTTTCTTCCTGCAGAGTTAGTCACAGAAGCTCAGGTGGCCGTTTTCACGGAGTGACATAACAGCTCTGTGCCTCTCTTCCTCTCTTCGCTGATAGATTGGTAGGAGCAAGTGTCCTGCTGGCGAAGCCCCCAAGCCACAGGAAACCTCATCGGCTGCAGTGTCTAACGAGGATGTGAGCTGTGGTGATGGCATATTAACGCTCGGGCCCCGATGGACAGCGAGAATAAAAAGACAACACGGCGATGATTCAATACAAATTGTTTAAGGTGAAACAATGGTCTCTGCGACTGGCCGTTCAAAGAGTGTGGGAGAGGTGAGTCCATCTGCACTCTGAGGTTTGAAATATTTGTCATTGTTTTTCAGTTAAATGCCTCTTTATTTTGGTGTATTGTCGGTGGGATTGAAAGTTCAACACGTTCAAAGCTTTTTTTCCTGAGCTAAAATAATTGAAGAGTTGAATAGACATATTCACACAAAACTAGAAAAATATATTGAATACATTAATAAATGAAATAAATAAATATATTTTCGACCGTTTTAGCGCAAGGAACAAATGATAAATTCCCAAAAGGCTAAGCTGGTGCATGTTATCTATCGTTCATCAGCAACAGCAGTAAACAGGCCTGATTTTGTTATAAATGACGCATTTATCGGACCTTTACTATGGTGTAAGGTCAATTACTTAAAATTTGTATTTGCAAATTAGCATCAATTACTTCTGTGGCCTAGTGGACCCTAATACCATTCCCTCAGCTTATCCTGTCCTGTATCCATCATAGAAATGGCACTAAAAAAATTCATGGTATGGTATCTGATTTAAATGCCACATGGAAAAAGTTTCCAGGCAAGCCTAAAGAGCCCCAAAATACAATATTTGCAAAGGAGAAACCATAAAGTACCAAATTTTGATTTAAATAAAAATATTTTAGCTTCAGTTGTTACTGACAAACATAACATTTTTGTGATTCTGCAGTCCTTCCTCTCTATCGGTGCCTTTTCATATTAATTTGTGTTCTTTTGGCACAAAAACGGTTTAATTAGCTTTGACTGAAGCACGATTGACCTCTCGTGTGGCTGGGGAATGAGTCCTGACAGCACTGTGCAGGTGTGAAGTAAAACAGGAATCAGTGTAGCACCTCCGCTGGTGTGTCAAGAGCCTGCAAGTCAGGAGATCCCCATGGGGCTGAACAAGTGTGTGTGTGTGTGTGTGTGTGGGAGTGACAAGACTAGCACGAGGTCCTGTGGCTGACAGCAGCTCCCCTGCCAGGATGTGTAACCTCACACGGCCAAAACAGGAAGCCCTGCCACTCACTTAGTGATTGACACACTGGCGGAAGTTCATAAAGGTTCCAGAAGGGCTGTAGTCCATGTTCAAGGGTTGGTGACTGGGCCACCTGGTACAGTGCAATGAGGATGAGAGCGCTCTTGTTACATATGAGCATACTTGCCTGTCCGCCAGTCCTCCTCTGGGTCAAATAGTGCTGTGATAAATACTGTCATAAATACCCTCTTAAAAATAATAGTTATATGTAAAATAAAATAAAACATTTGGACAAAATAAATCAATAATATTTTTTCTCTCTTTATAAACTTCTCGACACAGCAACAGGCAAATCTGTTTGGGAAAAAAATAAACAAAAAGTAAAGCAAAACAAATCTAAACTACAGAAAATAAAACAAATTAATGAATAAAATAATTGTGAAAATAAATAAATAAATGAAAAAAGCATAGCAAAACAAAAACAATTATTTCTCTATTTTCTGAGCATCTCGGGAATGCAAAATTAGCTAATGAGTGAAGCAAAAAAAAAATTAAAAATGAATCAATAAAATAATGCTATAAATAAATGAAAAACAACACAAAAAGCACAGCAAAAAAAAACAAAGAAAGCTACATTAGCTAATGAGTGAAGCAGACCGGTTTGAAAACATAAGATAAGAAAACAAAACAAAAAACTATGCAACAGACAAAAAAATAATAATAAACATGAGCGAAATGGGTAGAGAGACTACAGTGAGGCCTTTGAGAGTCGAAAGAAACTCCTTAAAAAAGGATTTTTAAACCAAATGAGATCAGTATGTGGAGATCTGATCGGGTAAGAGCGAGAACAGGCTGCCGCCTCACAGCTGAGAGCGATCATGACTCTTGCATCATGGGATGTGTCACTGTATGACACAATGCTGGTTCATACTAAACTGCCAATTATCAGCAAGCCTCGCCCTCCTGTTCTCACTTCTCGCCGTGTGCGCGCCCTGGCCTGTGACCTCGACGAGGACTGTGTACACTTCAACCTGATTCACACCTCTGGGAATCTGGACATTTCCATTGTAAAGCTTCAAGTGTGAATTCAACTGTGGTATTAGATTTGTGAATACAGTGTACAAAAAGTAATGATCTCAGTAAGTATCTCAGACCACCCAAACGAGTTGCAGTATGATGTATTCAAGGGGAAGTAATTTTAGAAATTTGTAATCAGAATCATGGTTAAAGTGTGATAAGAGTACTACTAGTGAGACACTATAGAGGTACAGACATAGTTTTTTTGTCGGCCACCAGAGGGCTGCTGTCTTTGCTGATCGCTCTGCTTCCTTTGAATGCAACATGTTTTAAGTGAATATGGTTATTAATTACTTATTATAAATTATTTAATTTTATTTTCAAGATACTTCGAATGAATAATAGGTTGGCAACAACACTGAAGAATAACTAAAATGCTACTGTGGTGCTAGAAAAAGTAGTTTTATATACTGCAATCTGATGTTATATTGTCAAACGATTAATCGCGATTAATCGCATCCAAAATAAAAGTTTGTGTTTACATAATACATGTGGGTGCACTGTGTATAATTATTTTGTATATATAAATACACATACTATATATATCTAAGAAATATTTTCATGTATATACTGGATATAGATTTATATATAATTTATATTATATATAAATATACATATTTAATATTATTTTTTTCTCAAATATTGATGCGTGTGTGTATTTATATATATATATATATATATACACAAAATAATTATACAAAGTGCACCCACATATATTATGTTAACACAAAATTTTATTTTGGACGCGATTAATTGCGATTAATCGTTTGACAGCCCATAGTTATATTATACATAAACCAATAGTTATTTTAAAAATCCAACGTGAAATGTAATTTTTGATAGTAACTTGTAGTGGTCAAGATTTTACTTCATCCAAGTTTTAGATTAATTCAGTGTTATTCATTAACCCTTTCTGAAGGTTACAACATTAGTGAGTCTGTGAATCATTCACTAAACCAATGTGTCATTTTTTCTGGCGATAACTGGCACATTTTTTTTTAAAAAGGGACGTCAAAGTCAAACTACAAAAAAAAGTTAGTTCACTTTAGCACCATTTTAAATTGAGTAGTTTGTAGCTTGACTAGTTTCAAGGTAGCTTCAACATTGCATGATAAGAAACCAAAACAAAATAGCATTTATCGGATTGGTACACATTTTTGAGCTCGGGCAAAAGGGTTTGGTATCATTTTAGTGTCAGGGGAAGCAAATTGATTTTCTTTTCAGATGTCAAATAACCTTGGATCCTTATTGATAGATGGGTTCAGAAGTGGCGTGAGGCCTTACCTGTCCAGCGAGGTGGACACTAGTGTCAGGACATCGCAGGTCTTCATTCAGGTTGTCATGGACACAGAGGAGGGACAGATGTCCTGTGAAGTCACATGACAGTCACAATTAATCAATGACCCAGAAAGATTTGTGGTTAAAATATGCAAGATGTTACAAATAAACACCTGTTGCAAATTATAAAATGCTTATCAAACTGGATGTAACTCTTCTGTTCAAAAAAAAAAAGCTAAACAATCCATCGTGCAAGCTAATATTTCACTGCACATCAATAAAGTAGGCCTACAAGCTATATTTTTAAAACCTTTATCAAACGCCCTCAGAAAAAAAAGACACAAAACATCTATATGGCATAAATTCCTCAAATTTATGGCCGACTTGTGTTTAGATGCTATGATAGTACTGTAGGGATGAGCACAATCTTTGCCTCCCATCCCAGAGGGCTCAGTCACCAATTGGTGGGGTCTTTGTGTGCCAATAAATCTGGGGACATTTCATAATAGTCATCAGGCCGTTGGGCGGCATGTACAGAATACATACCAGGCTTTGTGCATCAGTGCTACAGTTTCATTCAAGAGTCACTGACTATTAAAGTGGGAAGTCAGATAAGCGTTATAGAAGCTTATCCTTCAAAACAAACAATCACAGACTTCCACATACAAAGAACAATCGAGTTGTGTAAGTTAGAGCTCGGCTCTCAAATCTCCACTTTACAGTATTTGGCGCACAGTAACGGATATCTTTGTATGTGTGAAATTCTACAAGTGAGGATGTCCCAAAGGGAGGTTTCACCAGATTTAGCCAAGTAAACCCAATTTTGTCCTCTCAGCACACAGAGCTGTCATGGCGGGAAAGCGGCGTGCGTCAGGATTAATCTCCTGCAAAGGAGGGTGGGTCAGGGCAGCCAGAACTCATTTGGTGTGATGCTATGAAATGGCTGCCCATCAGGAATATCTTCATTTATCTCTGTCTCATCTACATGGGTGGAAATGGAGGGATGAAGGGCTGTAAGGAGAGAGGGAGGGTGAAAGAGGCATCCAGAGGAGAGAGGTCAGAGCATTCAAAGAGTCCATCATTCTGATGTGTCAAGCGTCTGTTAACCGAGTTTGTGGAAATGTTGGTGTGTATTCAGCGATATGAAGCTTAGCTTCACCGTGCTGTTTTGAGATTTTAAGTGACTCTTTGAGAAATAAAATGTGAGAAAACAAAGCATTCCACAAAGTTACAAATAGCCAAGAAACAAAACAAAACGAGGAAACTACTGGTTCCTCGTTCCGTTTTCCATTGCAGACGGTACCGCCACAGATAGTACTCGGTCGTCATAGCGACACCTTTCGTTACTCGTTGCCCCGCAGGATCCTCTCTGTTCGGCCACCAAACAAAGGAAAGTCTGCACCTCCTCGTTTTTGGCCACGGCGTATTCTTCCGAGTTGCCATAATAATAGTAGTTAGTTTAACTATCTCTGGCCAAACTATTTAAAAATAGTGGGGTTATTCTGGATACTCCATCTGGCGCGTGTAATAATGACGCAGTGAATGGTGGTGATTCTCTCTGACCAATCAGCAGTCGGCATTGTTTTCACGTGACATTTTAGTATCGCCTTAGCTCGCTCAGAACCTTGCCGGAGGTGGTACAAAAAAAGTACCCGAAAGCAGGAACAGGTACAACTTTTACACAGTGGTCGAGTCGAGTCGGTACTGTGAAGTGGAAAAGCGCCATACGAGAGGCACTAAATACAACAGCAAAGAATAATGATTGTTTCCAAGTAGGTTTCTAAAACATCCCCCTCTCTGCAATGATTCTGGGATGTTACTTTCTGAATTGGCAGTCTTACATCAGCACTTTAGAAACTTCAAGGTTTCAACACTGGCCTAAGATCTCAAAGTAGTTTTGATAAAACAGTACCAGCTGAGGTAAACAGCTAAGGGTAAACAGAGTGTAAAACCCAGAGGCAGATTTAGTTCTGGACCATCTGTTCAATTCATTGCGATCAGGCAGGTGTAATGCCAAATACCTGAGTGCAGAAATAGGGAATGAAATACCTGCAGATGCTCAAGAGACAATGAAAAGCTCAGGTTTGCTGCTTTTTCTTATCTGCACTGTAAAAAAAATATTTTCATGATTTGTAATCACGTTTTTTTCTTTTGTCAAATCAACTTAAATAATTTATGTAGTTCATTTAACATAATATTTTGAGTTTCTGATTATTAAATCAGTCTCCTTCATTGAATTAACTCAATTTTTCCATTTCAATGAACTTAAAATTTCAAGGCAACCAGGTTACTTAATTTTTTAAGTTAAACCAACATATTTTTTTTACAGTGTGGTGGTGTTGTTATTGGTGGTGACATACTGGATGATTGAGGAATTGTTTGTTTTTTTTAGACTAAAATGTTATAAAAACATATACTGAATGCTGATGGTTAATTATGGAAGCTTGTTTCCGCCAAAGAATAAAAAAATAAAAAAGGTAAATGCGAGTTTATATGACATGATTCTAACATATTTTCTCAGAATTGTGAGATATAAACTTGCAAATTGCGAGTATTTTTTCTCACAATTCTGAATTTTCGAGATGCAATTACGAATTTACGAATGTCGCAATTCTGTCTTTATTTCTCAGTCGATACAAAAGTCGCAATTGCGTCTCCTAAATACCTCGTTCATCAGCGGTGTCCACTCCACCATGATGATGTGACAGTTAGCCGCGTCTCGTAAATTCAAAATTAGTGAGATAAAAAAAAACGCAATTATCTTTTAAAATGTTTTATTCTGTGGCAGAAACAAGCTTCCATAGTTAATAAAGCATACTAATCTCAAAGTGTACGCTAGGGTATGCGTAGTGTTTCATTAGCATGTTGGTGCGCGAGCAGACAGATTTTTCTAACCACACACACTCTGTACGCTCAGCTTGCATATGTGCCTAAATTTTTTTCCGCTAGTTAGTTTGTGTACAATGTGGCATCACTGTCCTTGTCCGTTGATTCACAGTTGAAAAGGAGATGCAACAACAACAGACATCCGCATTAAAACGCGACTGTGTGAGAAAATGAAGAAATATGTGAAACTCTAGTTTAAACTAGTACAAAGATATTGTACTGTTAATTACTTTTGTCGAGAAATAGAGCAGACACTGGACAAGGTTAAAGTTTTCCAGTCTGCAAGTGTCGGCCGTGTGGGTTCGGCTCACGCATGCTATCAAACTTCGAAAGCTGTGCGTTCAGCTGTATGTGTTAAGTGCTTTAGTTGCGTCAAAAAACAGTGTAGTAACAGCAAACCACCAGCTATACATAAAAATAAGTTCTGTGAGGTCTTATTGTACGAGGTACTATTGAGAAACGCGTAATCGAAAAAATCTCATCTGTTTCTCAGACTGATTTCAGTTTCTACATCTGCAAATGTCAATGGACCTCAACATAAGCTGACATGAGGTATTCAATAATTTCAGAAGACCTGGTAAACCTTCAGAGTTGTCAGGAAGTTTTTACTTTCTGGAAATATCTGACGGTGTTGCCTCGGCCTGCTCTTTCCAACTTTGAGAGAAGCCAGGCACTACAGGATAATCACAGTTTAATAGGAGCAAATATTGAAAGCAGGACCTGACCAACCAGATCCCCCTTCCTAGTGCTCTCTCCCAGTGCGCCCGAGAAAAACGCTAGCACATGGGTGCCTAAGAAATCGATAATTCCATGATACATTAATTAACGTGAAAAAAAAAATAGAGGAAACTGTCGTATTGACGTACGTTCATTGTTTAAGTTGGAATCGTTCAGTCGAAGTGTTGGAAACGCAGCTCTGTTGAAAAATCTGACAGCCTTGTTCAAAGCAAAACAGTTCACGTGTAACCAATCTAGAGTTTCACCATGAAAAATTAGACGAAAAAAAGATGACATTTTTTGTAGTGTACAATGTGTTTTTTACGTACTTGTTCTTTAGATGAACTTGTGAGGTACGCTTTTCCTCTCAGGCGTCCTATTTGCCATGCAGAGCCGTTGCATTGCTGGGAGAGGGAAGTGTCCACAGACTGGGGCCTCTTTCTAATGATTTCCCACACCTGCACATCTGCTGCCGTTTTAATTAATACTCTAAGGAGGTTTGTCACGAGTAATCAAAAACATTGTCACTTATGAAATCCTTCATTATAGAACAAAAATCAATACTTTACATGAGTAGAATGAGGGCGCTCATAAAGTAGCCCACATCACAATAAAAAATCTATTAAGAAAAAAAAAAAGAGAAAAGTGTAGGAGACTTTATTTGGGGCGTTCGCCACTCCAGGGTTGTTCTTTTTTTCTTCTTCTTCTGTGAAGCGGCAACACGTGGTGAAGGGCTGGGCATCATTTTCATGCAGGCCTTGGTTCTTCAGCTTCATACGGGCGGAAAGGGTGGGGGGCGGCACGACAAAGGCAATAGTCGCATCAGCCCTCTTCAGCTCTGCAGCATCACTACAACCTCTCTCCTCGCTGATTTATGACTCACCGCTGACCTCTGAGGTCGTAACATGGTGATGGGTGACTGGCTCTCAACGGTAAGCTACTGGCACTTGACAAAGTGCCGAGAGCAGAATGAATTTACTCCTCTTTTCCTCAATCATCAACAGGCGCACGCCGGCTTGCTGCCCTGACCCCCTCTCATCCTGACTGCTATAACAAGATCTCCCATCTCATGCAGGAGCGAGGGAGAGGGAGGCTGAAAAATTTACTGTCATTTCTACTTTCCAATGAGCTCCGGTGAGCACTTCTTTCACCTTCAAGTTGCTGGGGATAGGGAGGGGAGGGATGGTTGGTTGGGACGGGGGCGAACGTACTTTGATGCACCTGTCTAACTTTGGGTCATTCGCTAGAGGTACTTCAATCTGCGTTTGCTTCCATCAACTTGATAACGGCACCTGAAAGCAAGTTCAATTTAATAAGCAAATAAATCTCGCGTTTCACGTACCTCGTTCATCAGCGGTGTCCACCACGATGATGTGCCAGTTAGCCGCAAAACAAATTCTTACTAACGCGTTCATTAATGACATGTGCAAAAAATCCATTCGGTTACTTCGCCTTGTATTGGCGCTAGACCAGCACTGGGTGGGAG